CACACACACACACACACACACACACACACACACACACACACACACACACACACACGCACCTGGAGCATCTCAGCTCTATTTTCCACCCCCGGGCAGATCGCCTGCTGCTTGCAAGCCCAGATATAGCCTTTACACAAATACATTCACAAATTAAAACAAAATAAAAACAAGCAGATAAGAAACAGATGGTCAGATTAGACCGCCATCTTCAGAGGACCCCCTCACTTGCTAATCTCAGCCTCTAGAGGTGCCAAGATAAAGCCCTGCTGCAGATCCTGAGGTGAGAGGAGAATTATCACCTACGAGCGACTCAGTTGTCTCTTTCCAAATGAAATATATGGGAACCAGCCACAAGTTGTGCTTTTTCCGTGATATTTCCTTTCCCACACCTATTGCCTCGGTGACCCCCGGCCAACAGACATATAGCTGCAATGAGACTTTGGGTTTTCGGGGGGATTAGACCACACATGTGTCCTTTGCACAGCTGTGGCTGCTTTTGATCTGCTGCTTGAAATGACCCTGCTGCTGCGATGTGACCGCTTCAGTCTCACTCTCACCGTCGCTGTGTTCACACCGGGACAAAATGAAGCAATTCGGTCGCGGGCTGATGATGTGAGGTGTGTGAGATTCATCCTTCACAGACAGGGGAGACAGGGGACAGGAGACTCGGGGTGACATCTGCCGTGGACACATGCTAACTCCAGTCTGGGGGAAGATAAGTGACTGGAAGTGTCGTTTGTGACCTCGGCTTTGTTTGAAGTGTAAAAATTGCTCCCTCCTTCCTCGATTTGTGCCCTACAAATCATGTTGAGGGACTGGGGCTCTCCCGCAGGGGTTATATGGGGGGGGGGGGGGGGGGGGGGGGGGGGGGGGGGGGGGGGGGGGGGGTAAGGGTCACAGCATAACGTCACTTCAGGGTTGATCTGCAAGTCTTGCTCTCTTGTGAAAGCATTACACGTGCAATAAAAATAGGAATAACTCATAATGGACACAAATTGTCTTCGTGAAGCCAGGCAGCTCACTGTGAGCCACGGCTTTTCACACTGGCTCACTAAATGCCATCACAGTGGCGTGAGACGAGGCGAGGCACCGCCACACTCGCGGGTGTACGAGGGTACGGCCTCCTGCTGGGGATTTGCTAATTGGCCGTGTGACTTATTGAATTTCGTGCGCACTATTTACATCTGAAAACAAATCAG